GCCCGGCCGCACCGCCGCCATCTTTGTGAAGGGCCGGCGGCGCCGCGCCCCGGCGGGAGGCCCCGCGGCCCGGCCCGGCCCGGCCCCGCTCCTCTCCTCCCCGCAGGCCGCCGACTCACCGCGGGGAGCGGCAGTGACAGGTGGTGGCGGCGGCAGCGAGACCGGTGGGACGGCGGCGAGCGGCCGCCCTCAGCCTCCGAGTCGCTTATGAGGACGACGCTGTCGGCCATCTTGGCGGCGGCTCCGCCCCCCGCGGACCGGCGGTAGCGGCGGCGGGGGCAGCGCTCGGGCCGCGGGCCGGGCCGGGCCTAGCGGGGCGACGGAAGTGGCGTCAATAACAGCGGCGGCGGGGCGGGGCGGGGCGAGGGTGGCGGTGGCGGCCCCGGCGGCGCCGCCATGGCGCTGTCGCCCTACGTGCAGGCCATGCAGGAGCTGTTCCGCGCCAACACGCGGAGCCGCGAGTTCCCGGCGCACGGCGCCAAGGTGCACTCGGTGGCCTGGAGCTGCTGCGGCCGCCGCCTGGCCTCCGGTTCCTTCGACAAAACCGCCAGCGTCTTCCTCCTGGAGAAGGACCGGCTGGTGAGGCGCCTCCCGGCACCGGGCCGTTCGGTACCGGGCCCCGGGGGGGGGACACCTGGAGCGGCCGCTCGGGCCGGTACCGGGGCATCCCCGGAGCCCTTGGGGTGGGACTGCCGATTCGGGTCGGTACCGGAGGCCTCTCCCAGGCCCGGATGCGCAGGCGGGTGGCTTGAACCGTGAGTGGGCCCCAGTGGTCGGTACTAGGCCTGGAAACGGGAGCTCAGGAAAAGGAGCGTCGCCAGGGACCGGACAGGCCGGGAGAGCCGGGACTGGAGCTGGTGCCTGGGTGGGGACAAAGGGGGGCCTCCTCCATCCCTGTGGGGAGTATGATTGAAATGGCGGTGGGGCGCTGGGCCGTGCTCCTGCCCCATCTGGTAACCAGCAGTGGGGCAGGGTGCAGCATACCGGGATCCAGGGCAGGAGGCTGGTAGGGCTGGGCTCATCCCTCCTGTGAACGGCTGTCCTCTCCTTCCAGGTGAAGGAGAACAACTACCGGGGCCACGGGGACAGTGTGGATCAGCTCTGCTGGCACCCCAGCAACCCTGACCTCTTCGTCACGGCATCCGGGGACAAAACCATCCGCATCTGGGATGTCCGCACCACCAAGTGCATCGCCACTGTCAACACCAAAGGTGAGTCCCTGCCTTCCCGGGAGGGCTGTTGGGTCCCAGCAGAACTTCTGCTGTGTGGGACCCGTCTGCGGTGGCACAGTGCTTTGGACCCTTCTTCTAGGTGTTGGCGATCAGGGGATCTTTGTTACTGCTTTTATCTTTGTGTTGCACTCATCTGTAAGGAGCAGCAGTGAATGAGCAGTGAATAGAGCTGATTTACTCGGGTGCCAGCAGTGGAGAAACTACTGGAATATGATGCTGGCTGTTAAAAAGCCTGTGTACTTGTGTCTGGAGCCTATGGGCTGCAAGGCTGGATACTGGGAAAGGCATGTCTGCAGCGAGCCACGGTGGAAGTAAAAGTTTGCACGGATTCAGAAAGTGATTATTTGAACTCTTGGGCTAATTAACCTGTGTACCCTTGGAAATCTCAAATTTTAAATTGTCAGGGCTGGAAATGACCTTGTGAGATGACAGACAGAAACCTGCCTTGTTCTCACTGTTATTCATATGTATTTATTGTTGGCTTCTGCTTTTTCTGGATCTTGAAGATCACAGGCTTAAGAGGATCTTTGAACTGACCTTGTTTGTTGGTTGCTGTGGTCCCATCTTGGCTGAAATGGGAAGGCTAGCGATGTAGTCGTGTTGGTTTGAAGCTGTTCAGTTTAATTTTCAATAACTCTGTGTGTTTGCTGCACAGCCACTGTATGGGGTTTGTGTGTTAGACTGCAGACTTGGCAGTCTTTCCCATTTGGGAGTGGTTTGGGGGTTAGTGGAGCAAATTGCGGCCTTGGATCAGGAATAGAAGCTGCCTCTCTGCTTAATTCATGGCTGCTGTGGATTGTTGGGTAGGAATGGGACCCGCTGCCTTTCTGTCCCTCCAGGGGAGAACATCAACATCTGTTGGAGCCCTGACGGACAGACCATTGCAGTGGGCAACAAGGATGACGTGGTCACTTTCATTGATGCCAAGACCCATCGCTCCAAAGCTGAGGAACAGTTTAAGTTTGAGGTGAATGAGATCTCCTGGAACAACGACAACAACATGTTCTTCCTCACTAACGGGAACGGCTGCATCAACATCCTCAGGTAGGCACCAGTGGCAGGGTAGCTGAGCTGCCTGTGGCAGACATCAGTCTGCAAGCCCGTCTGCTGCTTTTTGGGAACCCAAGTCCCACACCCCAGCAATTCCCAGCCCTCTGGTGTGAAAGAACTTGCGTGGAGCTGGGGTTGCCCCAGTTCTGGGCTGTGCTCCCTGAGAGTGACCCTGATGTTTTGCCTCATTCGCTCAACACCCAAGGTTTCCAAGAGCGTGGCCTTGCACCAGCTTGGTTCTCACAGTCCCAGTCCCACCTGCCCTTGCTTGTAGATGAGCCCTGTGCTCCTCTCACTGCTTCCTGCCCTCTCCCTTCATCTCCGCAGCTACCCAGAGCTGAAACCCATTCAGTCCATCAACGCCCATCCTTCAAACTGCATCTGCATCAAGTTTGATCCTATGGGGAAGTACTTTGCCACGGGCAGCGCTGACGCCTTAGTCAGCCTCTGGGACGTGGATGAACTGGTGTGTGTGAGGTGCTTCTCAAGGTAGGTAGTGCTGTCCTGGAGTTGTTTTCCCTCCCCTCTCTGGTGACCGTGGGGGAGATGGCTCACTGTCTGCTTTGCTCTGTCACTGCAGGCTGGACTGGCCTGTGCGAACACTGAGCTTCAGCCATGACGGGAAGATGCTGGCGTCGGCATCAGAAGATCACTTCATTGATATTGCAGAGGTGGAGACAGGTAACGGCTTTGCTTTTTGGGGAACAGCAAGGAGGGTGGAGGAGCGCTGGTGGAGCTGGGAGGGCACTGGGAATATCTGTGTGCCAAGGAACAGCTCGGCTGTGCAGAGCTGAGCGCCGTGAGGG